TAAACGAGTTAATTTTGCGAAAATTCATCAATTTCGTGACTAAATTTGGTCAAAACTATGCGGGATGACGGCTCCCGGCGTTACGTCACAAAATAAAGCTCTCTGATTGGATGGCTGAAATTCTAAAATTTTGTCCGCGAAACGAAAACCGGGGGGAGGGGAATTTCAAGTTGTACAAGACTACAATAGCGCTGCAGCGGGAAATTTTAAACTTGGAAAAGACTCAGGAAGTTTCAAAGTGTATAGTTAAAAATAAAAACATTAAATATATAAACAAGAATCTGTAGAAAATGTGAAGACTGTGGAAAATGTGAAGCGCGAATGGAGGAAGTGTTTTGACCGGTAAATAGTTTGTTTTGTTGTTGTTTTTATCTTTAAATACAACGCACAGCATTTAACAAAATGTGAATACAAAACAGTTCGTTTTAACAAATTTCAGTCGGTGGTCATACTCTGTCTCTGGATGGAGAACGACAGACAAGAGAAAAAGAAAGGGTTCTGCCCGACTGCAAGATGATTTAATTAATTTTTTAATAAATGTTTTTGTTCTTTAAATTTATAAAACGAAATGCCGTGCAATGGCGGTATTCGGATACGTTTCCAACTATATTTCAAAACCGAAGTTCGCTCAAAGTTATATATTAAAAAACTATATTTATCTAGTATGTATAGTACTCAGAACTTCGAAAAAGTACTGCCAAAATTTGCTGTCTTAACTCAGACTTTAATAAAGATTGCATTGCTAGATTGCCGACGACATTTTACAACAAAACAAGACTATACGTGCCTGTAAAAATACCTTGCGAATCTATCTATAGTATACTTTTGGTCTAATTTTTAAATAATACGTAGAAACATTCGTTAATATTAATTCGTGCTGGAGAGTATGTTTTTAACCATTGAAACAAGTTTTTAACTGAAAAGTCTGAAAAAACTATTACAATTGTATACATGACAAGAATATAAGCATGTTTTTAAGCCGGAGTGTTTTAGACTGCTACATTCTATATATGCACGAGTGTCAAGTGTACATTCGTAATTTTGTACGGTATTAAAGTATTAATAGTTGGTTTAAGCGACAAAATTTATAAACAACAAGCCCAAAATCCAATTATTTTAAATACGTATGGAAAGAAACTGAAGTTTTTCCTTTGCTCGGAGCTATTATTTAACATTTAACGTGAAAAAAACACATGCACATGACAAAGATCATGCACTTACCTGTAATCTGTATACTCAGCTGCCAAACGGCCATTATTGATTTGTCCTCAAAACAACACTTCACCAAAAATAAAGATCGCAGAAGATTAATTTCTGCCTTTTGCCAAGTTAATATGATCAGGTACAAACACTACGTACTAGATATCCAAAAGACAAAACCAATAAAGTTGTCAAATCACTTTGCATGTGGTCTTTTCAACAGCATGTAGACGTTGTTCGAACTTCGAAGCCTCTGCCAAACCAGTTCTTTTTCAGTTGAAGCATAAGCAATCCAAGTGCAAACACATATTAAAACCGATCAGCAAAGTATCCAGCAAACATATAGATAATTGTCGAACATAGTTGGAAAGAAAAACCCCTCTTTTTACGTTTTAAAATGAACTTCGAGATGAACTTCGCATTAGCCACATGCACTTTGAAAGTTCAAAACGACAAATGAGAACAACGCGCGTGATTGACACATGACTGATTGTTGCCGCTGACCAATAGAATAGCTCCGTGTTGTCACGTGATCTGTTCCCTTTGAATTTAGCGAGGGCATGTTCGGTATAGGGAGGTGTCAGTTTGAAAAAGGTTTTTGGTTAAAACTTTCATTCATATATAAGCATCTTCATTGCAAAACAATAGTTTCGGCAATTATCTATACTACCCCACACCAATTAAAAGTACATCACATCCATCACCTTTTTCACTTTTTTTTTTCTTTCTATCTGATCTGTTTTTTAAAACAATGCATGGAATCTGTGTCATAAAGTAACCCTTTACACCTTTACAAGAAAATCTTGAGAAGGAAATAACTATTTTAATAAATCTGTATTGATAAATGTCAGCATTCAAAATTTATCGATTTATATCTTTCATTTTATATAGGCTTGTTGAAAAGTATGAATACCATCAAGGTAGTTTTGTTTCTACAGAGTCTATCGTGCAGGGTATAAAAGACATATGGTCAGATTCAGAGATTCAAGATAAGTCTATACCGTCCGTTATTGGAAAAATAATTGCCCAAGCATGGGGGGAAAATGTAATCAAATGCAAGGAATCTGGGAAAAATCAGTCGGGATACAAAAACCTGCGTGTACGATTTGTAGAGAGCGACAATAAACTTGGAATTACAAAGTTCGACGAAGAAACTGTTGATGCTATACGTGCAATATGCAACAAAAACGAAGGTTGGATTATTGATGTTGTGTCTCAAGAGAAAAAAGCAATGTCCTTATTAAAAGCTCCTCATTTCAAGCATGAAGAAGAAGGCACATCTATTATTGTGGACGGTCGACGTGTTTTAATGGAGCTCAATATCAACCTATATCCCGTAGTAAACATGACTCTACGAACCCACGACAAACCAGTGCCACTTGAAGATATCTTGGATTGTTTTAGAAATGACGGTTCAGTCTCTCTTCATGCCATAGATACTGTACTTCACATCCTTAATGCAGTATCCCTATATGCCTAGGAGCAGAAATTCCTTTTCATCGCAGTGAGGAAGACAGTGAGCTGCAGCTTCCTGTCCTCGGTTCTCGACTTGCACACGTCGCATTTTCCAATGGCAATGTCGGTACAAAGCGATTAATTTCATCGTCGTGTTTGCTCCTGGTGACCGTTGGTACCTTATGCCAAAATTGTGTTTATGCTAACAAGTTACATTGCAATAGAGCAAGCAAGCGGAAGCGTGCCGAACAGACTGAAACCAATTCAAATAAACGCAACGAAAGATATTTGAACAGGAGTGGTTTGGAAAATAAAATCTACCTTCAAAAGAAGCAACAGAGAACCAGCAGCAGTGCTAAGCTGATCACGGAAGATCAATTGTTGACATTTGCGGAAAGCGATCATAATGATTTGTTACGGATATCAGAGGAAATTGATAAGTCAAGGATTCCTGAAGACATGCAGTTATTATGGGATATGCAAATGAAGCAGTTGGTAGGAAAATCGCCAAAAGGTCATCGTTGGCATCCCCGGTAAGTTCAGTATTTTGCTTATCTATAAGGTAAATTGTATTATTGCAGTTTTATAATTACTGGCTGCACCTGCATAAAATTACTTTCGACATGACTTTATTTTAAATTATTATTTGCTTGTGTAATTGTATACTATATATAAAGAATATATGATTTGCAATATACAACTAACGCTTGGAATTATAAAGTTTTCAAGAAGTTCCATTGTTTTTCTAGAATTGTCAGATTAGCATTGGACATGTATGTGAAAAACCCGCATGTGTTGGACACACTACGACAGTTCGTTATTCTTCCAAGTAACCGTCTTATCAGGTATACTGTAATAAGGTTTTGTGTAATAAGGTTTTGTGTTCTTGAGGTAATTGCTACTTATATTAAATTTAGAAATAATTAGTAAACTTTAATTTCCGTGCGTAAATGTACACGTGAAAAAAGTTTAATTTAACTGGAACTCAGCTTGCATTCAAGCACCCAAAATCCAACTTCCGTTGGATTTTGGACACGAGCGGTCATATATATGCACAACGCACGTGGCTGATACAATAGTAATTACAACTGTATAGCAGAACGTTTGGTTTAGGTATTACAAGAATGCCGTAACGCAAGAAGCTGGATGGAACAAGGAAGTGATCGAGTGGTGTAGAAGAGAGGCAGAACGGCGGCAGTTTAAGCCTGCAGACTACTGGGGAGGTTTCATCTTAGACGAAATGAAAATCCAGGTGCGAAGGAATCTTCATATATGACATTGACCATTGTATATATGAAGAATATAAATACTAGTCGCGTAAATATAATTCATTTTCATGTACTTTTCCGTTCAAAGGAGGATTTGCAAATGGCTGTTAGGAACGGGCAACATACACTTGTTGGTCTTGTTTCTCTGGGAGGACTTTACGAAGACATGAAACTTATTGAGACAGGTAATTATAAATTATTTACACGTTTAATCTTATAAGTTATTTTCTTAATTCAAAACAATGAAAGGGAAGCATAGTGTTATTTTTTCTCCCCCTTGATTTTATATAGAAAAAATGGAGACAAAGTCACAGATTGCCACCCACCTGCTTCAATATGTCTTTCTCAGTGACTGTGGGTTCCGATTCCCACTAGCTCATTTCCCTACGACAACATGTCCCCCAGCAGTGTTATACCTTCAGTTTTGGGAAGGTGTTTTACAAATGAAGAAGGCTGGTTTCAGGTAATGCAAAAACTAAGAGGCTTATTTTCGAAGCTCACCGAGTGAGACTACATGAGTTTAACAATGGATGATTCCAACTATAGCCTATATAGACTAAATTTTGATCCAAACAAGAAGAATAAAATCTATCATTATAGCTTAAAAGAACATCCCTGAATTAGTAAAAGGAACTGAAATGGCCAAATTTAATTGGTTGCAAAATCAGCCAAAATGTTGTAAAATACGGAAAATATATCCCTGTAAAATTAGCAAATTTTGAGTATTTTAGTATTACGTGCGGAAAAGCGCTTTTGAGCCGAAAGTGGTGCATTTTTCCGCGCGTAATACTAAAATACTTAAAATTTGCTAATTTTACAGGGATATGTTTTCCGTATACTTTGCAACATTTCGCAAGTAAACTTTGCAATTTTACTAATTTTAGGATGCTCTTTTGAGGTAGATAGATTTCGTTTTTCTAGCAAGTTACAGCGAGTATGCCGGATTTATATCAGGAAATACTAGTATCCCAAAGGTCGTGGGTTTGATTCATATACCGTTGTCAGGCTAGCTTTTCAGCCTGCTCGGTGTGGATATACACTCAGAGTAACATCAAAAACATGAAATATATAGTTAACTTAAGATTATCGATCAGAAAAAATCATTGAGTATCACAATGAAAAATAATTCAAATTTTATCTTTACATCCTTAGCATATACCACGCAATTTGTGATGGTGGTGAATCAAATCGACAATTTATCAACATGCACTTCACAAGTTACAGTCCGGCTGAAATGAATTTCATAGCCTACAACATGATCACTGAAGATCCCATGGTGTTTCAAATGGACTGTAAGGTACACTCTATGTTAATTTATAGGCCATTTTTGAAAGACTGCATCTTTTATGGACCGCTAGATGCACCCCTATAAAATATATACGGTGTGTTCACATGAAAATGTCAATAACTGTGAATAACGATCAAGCAGTACATGATTTAGACTTGTTTCTATGTGTTTTACCAGCACAACATCAAGAAACTACGTAACAACGTAGAGAAGTGCTCTCCAACAGGGTCAACAAGATGCTTGAAGAATGGTGATGACAACATATTCTGGCAGCACTGGAAAGATGCTTACTTGTGGGACCAAGCCTGCAACTCATGCCCGCTTCATGAGAAATTGAAAGAAGAACATTTTCAACTGACGCCAAGCTCTCGCATGCGAAACGGCTTAGCTGAAGACGTTTTGGACAAGAAGATGTTGTATTTAATGAAAGTAAGTAAATGAAGAACGTTCGGGAACTGTAGGAATAATCAACAAAGAATTTTATTAGCTACAACCATACAGGCAAATTATTTTAGCAATATCTGAAATAACAAAGAACTGTTACGCTCTCTTTGTAGGCGTACAAGAATCATCTGGAACGTACTGGTGACAAAAAACATGCATCAGATTTAGATGGGGTAATCTTGTTTTTAGAGCACACAAGCTTTATAGTAGAGTTTTTTTCAAGCAAACAGCAAATTTACGATGCTAATGATACTCGTCTTCAGAAATTACGGTCAATTTTATCCTATTTATCGAAATGGAAAGATGGGATTTCAAAGAATGACGAATTTGTGTCCTCGAAACTATGGTTTGATTTGCAAGCAATGATTCTCGGTATAATCTCATTAGTAAGAATAAAGCTAAAACGATTTCCAGGATCCACTATCAAGCCTGCTATTCTAAATCAAGACGTCATGGTGGAGAATCATTTTTGCCAGCTGAGAGCAGCAAACGGCCAAAACGAGAACCCGACATACCGACTAACACAGGCGACACAAAATGCAATAATCTTTGGCGAAAGAACAATTAGTAGTAAATGTAACACTGGTGCCGCTGTTAGCAATACGTTCACAGATCTACCAAGAGAAAGACTATTTTCCGCGAAAGAGAGTGATAAAGGTCAAAAGTCTAAAATTTGCCTTACTCTATAGACAATAAATGTTTTTTTGTATAATACAATCTATATATAGTTGTATTTTAATATATTGCATAATACAAACAATATTATTTTTCACTTGATGTTGAGTAGAATAGATATTAAATAAACAATAAATGTATGTTACAGGTAAACTACGTGAACGGCGTTCCTCTTTTGACTTCGTAACTCATTTGGAATTTTCCTCCTTAGCTTTGCAAATTTGAAAAACTCTTTACAAATGCATTGAGAGAATTTGCAATGTTCCTATCGGCTGTTGCAATATTCCAAACTTCATTTTAAATTTTCCTAACTTCCTGTTTTAATTTCTTAACTTCCTGTTCTGTTTTGAGCGATGTTATTGGTCGATTATTTTTGTTAGCCAACTGCAACGCCCAGAACAGAACAGGAAGTTAGGAACTTGTAACAGGAAGTTAAGAACTTCTAACAGGAACTGAGGAAAATTTTTTTGGCTTTTAGCAACATTGCAAATTCCCTCAAGAAATTTTCAAGGGAGTTTTTAAATTGCAAAAGTAATGAGGAAAATTGCAATCAATTTAGAAACTCAAAAGAGGAACGCTTCACGTAGTTTACATGTAATTGTATTTTCTTATTGTTATTTACATGAAAACATTAGGGCCATTTATACGAGCGAAAATAAGCCGCGGCCTAAATAAGCCGCGGCTTAAATAAGTCGCGAAGGACTCGTATAAACAGTCAATTTGCAGTAAGTCGCGGCTAAAATAAGCCCAGGCTTGAAAGCTAGGCCTAAATAAGCCGTGAGTCCGGCGTGAATACATTATTCAACCTCGTACCCATAGTAGACGCTGGTCACGTGATATGCTGAAATCTAGCATATTTCTCTTTAACTATCTTGGATTCCTTCACGACAATCATACAAAATGCAAATTATAAATTAAACTATAAAAATAATTCAAATATCAAATATTTATTGACCTCATCTTGGATTGCTAATTAAAAATCTGCTAGAAATATTTTAGCAGATCACGTGAGCAGCGTCTACCAGGGTCTTTTCTCCCAAAGACACTGGCGCAGCCAGCCCGACAATTTAGTCACGCTATGCAAATATTTCCGTGTTCATAAACGTGAAAACAATCAATTTCTAAAGAAAAGAATAATGATAATTTAAAATTTGCATACCATGACCAAATTAGTGAAATTGTCGGGCAGGCTACGCTACTGGACCCTGGGCACGAGGTTGTTCATTATTTCGCTTCCACCACCGAAACATGTCATGCTCATGACTTCTTTATCTTTGTTATTCAATCATCAATAAATTAGCTAGTAATAAGCTACGAGGTAGAACCATAACATAAACGCCTAATGCGAATAACTGGAACACTGTTCACGTGGTCTTCTCCCGAAAGTTCTGAGCGATAAAATGATAGGACCTGAGGAGCAGGAATCGCCTCGTTTTGGACTATTGCTTGGGCAAGATCATTCGCCAGATTCCCTTTGTTCCATCGTGAAAGGTATCTCACATTATAGGCGTCACACAGTTTTTGCAACTCTTTCTTTTGATACAGACTCCGTAATCCTTCTGCGTTCAATTTAGCCACTAGTGCTTGCAATCTTAAATGGGAAAGTTTCTTACCTTTACTTGTATCCTGTTCAATGTGTGGAATATGTACCTTGAGTTTCTTTTTATTTGCTTTTTCCTTCTTTTGCATCAGGGATTTACGGTGTGCGAAAGTCTTTTGCAGCTGGTAATCTTTCCTAAAATCACGAAGGAATTGACCAGCGCCCATTTTGAGATAGCGAATTACAACTTCACGGTAGAGTTCTAATACCATTGCCTAGAATATGGGGAAAACATATAAGTGATAAAATACAGAATTGTTTAGTTTGTTGGATGTTCTTTGACAACATCCACTGTTTTCGTAAAACAACCATTACACCTTACTGTTATTAACATAGATATATAAATACCATAGTATTCCCAAACTCACCTTATCACCATTATCATCTAAGCAAAAAAGATTTAGAAATTTGGTTTGTAAGACTTCGTTTTTTGTTACATCTTCAATCGAATCTTTGATCAGGTCAGGTCCTTGCTGAGATAATCGAACCGAGTTAATCTGGTCTACTCTTTGCTGTTCGAGGAGCATGAAGAACTCGTACGCACCGTCACTGATATTTAGTAACCCGTGTTCTCTGAACTGTCGGGATTCGGTTACGTTTAATGTTTCGGGTTTCTTCGTCGTTTCTCTAAGGATTTGACTTGGAATTATTACGTTATTTTGCAAAAGCAAGACCTTCTTCATTTCCTTTAATACCCTTTCCACGACTTCTTTGGATTGGGACTGCTTGTTCTCGATAGCATATCTTCATGACTTTTCTAACAATTTGCGTAAGGCCCATCCACCAATGTATCTAACTTTCCCCCGTCCTTCTGCTCCCATGTTAGACACTTGCAGGGTAATATGCTCTGTTTCCTGCAATTTCACCGCTTTTCTTATTTCTGCAACAAATAACTGGTATATGTGGAAAAGAAGCTGAACCCCTAAACATCGCTGGCCACAAGTAATGTTGGACCAATTTCGGACACTAAAGGCAGCCATGATGTCACTTCTGTACTCGTTAGTCAAAAACATTTCGTTCAACTTGGCTGTGATTCGCGTGAAATTTGCACTTGATATACGTTCAACCGCATTTTCTGATATGTAATCTTCGAAAAGTTGGGCCACTCTGCACCATAGAATCTTTGTTAGTAATTCAAAGGACGTTAAATTTTCTAAGGCATAATTTGCTGCTCCTTTGATGAGTTCACTCATTTCATCTGTATTTGAATCATTATTCAATGACTCCAAAAATGTCTTTATGGAAAATTCAGATGGAGGGGAGACGAACCGAGTATCACTGGCACCATCAGTCATAGAGTGCAAAATTCCATCTAAATCGACTGCGCTTCCTTGATTTGCCTCGAAACATTCTTTCGCAATTTCTTCTTCAGTTGCTATGTCGTTATCAAACAATTCGCTATGATCTTCATATTGACTATTACGATCTAACTTGTAATTCTCTCCGTCCAATTCTACGTTTGAACAGCATTTAAATGTTTCAACAGGGTTGCCATGTCGAGTAGTAGCAATTTGGGCTATTTCTGGTGGTGGTGGCAGAAGATATCGTTTCTGAAATCCAATTACTTGGAGGTTGTCTTCACTCCTTACCCTCGATAATGCTACATATGTTTGACCGGAATCAAATTCTTGACTACAATGCACAACAACACTGTCTAATGTAGTACTCTGTGCTTTGTGGACCGTGATTGCATAGGACAAACTTAGAGGAAACTGCGTACGGCTAGCTTGAACACGCCCAGCATGATCATACTTATACCATGTTTTGCGCTGCAGGGTTACTACTCCAACGTTTGGAAATTCAACTTGAAGACCATTGCTGTTACTTGAATTAATGAAAGTACCGAATGTTCCATTCTTCAAATCATCGTTTATGTTAAACAACAGCATCACTTTACATCCAGGTTTTAGCATTAAAACTTCGGCGACAGTGTCTTTAAGTAGTATTTTGCGACCAGTGTCAGTACTTTCGAATTTCAGCACTTGACCAGGAAGGTTTGTTAGCATATATGAATTATGGACGGCTACAGATAGCTTCGTATAATAAATATGAATAGGTGGTGTGTCGCCAGTTTCCGTACAACTTCTAGATAAACCGCGAAGATACGCCTCGGTTTCATCGTCACATTTACCTAACCTTATGGAATCAAGAGCATCCTTCAATCGCATTTCTCCCTCGCCTTGCCTCATTATTCTGGTCAAAACAATTCGATGTGGAAAGACCTTATCAAAGATGATAGACTTGTAAACTGGATCGCCGGAGTCTAGGACATCTGGGATTGGTTTTAACTGATGAAAATCTCCAGACAGGATAACCTGAATTCCACCAAAGGGCAGTGTATTGTTATGGATATTCTGTTGGAGCAGATTGACAATGTTGAGAAGGCGCATACTTGACATTGAAATTTCGTCCCATATCAAAACGTCCAAGGATTTTATTTGGTTTACAACATTCTGGCGTTCAAGAGATCTTTGAATGACAAGCGACGCAGGTAGTTCCGCGGTGTTTAGGCCATAGAAAGAATGAACTGTCCTTGCCAAGCCTTCGTATATGTTGCACGCAACCCCACTTGGACAAACTATTTCGCATGTTTTCCCATTCTGGCAAAATCTTTTTCGAAGTTCTTTAATAACTGTCGACTTTCCTGCACCTACAAAACACCATTTCAAACAATCATTAATAATTCGTAAGCTTTTTGGCAAAGCATGTCAACCATAATATATATATATATATATATATATATATATATATATATATATATATATATATATATATATATATATATATATATATATATATATATATATATATGCACCACGTGCAGTGGTTTTATACTTGAGAAAACTCATTCTCTTTAGTATTCTTTATACAATGCTAAAGAGCTAATCCTAATGATAGGCATCTATTGACTATTATTTTCATTATATGTTTGAAGCCATTCAAAACTCGCAGTATAGCGTTAATCCAGCTCGTGTTTTACATAGTACAAAAACATCATCAATAATTATTTCAAAATCAGCGTATTTATACTATATGGTTATGCATGTCCATGCACTAACCTGATTTACCAAGTATGCAGAGGTTATGCCTCGACGTTGCAAATGTCAGAACCTTTTCTTGCGCTTTACTCCAATTCATCCTGGATTGATAGTGATATGCCTAAGGTCTGATGTAAAAAGTGAAAAAGGTGATGGATGTGATGTACTTTTAATTGGTGGGGGGGGTAGTATAGATAATTGCCGAAACTATTGTTTTGCAATGAAGATGCTTATATATGAATGAAAGTTTTAACCAAAAACCTTTTTCAAACTGACACCTCCCTATACCGAACATGCCCTCGCTAAATTCAAAGGGAACAGATCACGTGACAACACGGAGCTATTCTATTGGTCAGCGGCAACAATCAGTCATGTGTCAATCACGCGCGTTGTTCTCATTTGTCGTTTTGAACTTTCAAAGTGCATGTGGCTAATGCGAAGTTCATCTCGAAGTTCATTTTAAAACGTAAAAAGAGGGGTTTTTCTTTCCAACTATGTTCAACAATTATCTATATGTTTGCTGGATACTTTGCTGATCGGTTTTAATATGTGTTTGCACTTGGATTGCTTATGCTTCAACTGAAAAAGAACTGGTTTGGCAGAGGCTTCGAAGTTCGAACAACGTCTACATGCTGTTGAAAAGACCACATGCAAAGTGATTTGACAACTTTATTGGTTTTGTCTTTTGGATATCTAGTACGTAGTGTTTGTACCTGATCATATTAACTTGGCAAAAGGCAGAAATTAATCTTCTGCGATATTTATTTTTGGTGAAGTGTTGTTTTGAGGACAAATCAATAATGGCCGTTTGGCAGCTGAGTATACAGATTACAGGTAAGTGCATGATCTTTGTCATGTGCATGTGTTTTTTTCACGTTAAATGTTAAATAATAGCTCCGAGCAAAGGAAAAACTTCAGTTTCTTTCCATACGTATTTAAAATAATTGGATTTTGGGCTTGTTGTTTATAAATTTTGTCGCTTAAACCAACTATTAATACTTTAATACCGTACAAAATTACGAATGTACACTTGACACTCGTGCATATATAGAATGTAGCAGTCTAAAACACTCCGGCTTAAAAACATGCTTATATTCTTGTCATGTATACAATTGTAATAGTTTTTTCAGACTTTTCAGTTGAAAACTTGTTTCAATGGTTAAAAACATACTCTCCAGCACGAATTAATATTAACGAATGTTTCTACGTATTATTTAAAAATTAGACCAAAAGTATACTATAGATAGATTCGCAAGGTATTTTTACAGGCACGTATAGTCTTGTTTTGTTGTAAAATGTCGTCGGCAATCTAGCAATGCAATCTTTATTAAAGTCTGAGTTAAGACAGCAAATTTTGGCAGTACTTTTTCGAAGTTCTGAGTACTATACATACTAGATAAATATAGTTTTTTAATATATAACTTTGAGCGAACTTCGGTTTTGAAATATAGTTGGAAACGTATCCGAATACCGCCATTGCACGGCATTTCGTTTTATAAATTTAAAGAACAAAAACATTTATTAAAAAATTAATTAAATCTGTAACTTTTGACAATAGCAATTTAACTAATACCCTGGTTGCCAGAGGTTCTGTATCTTTCGCCTTATTCCCGCTCGTATTTATTTTACGCGAGGCGAAGAGAACCTCTGGTGGCACGCGATGCAAATCTCTCTTCCTTTGGTACAAAATTTGTACCAAGCACATGATTGGTTAGTTATAATTAGCAGTCACATGAAGTGGTGTGATTGGCTAGACAATAGAACACGATGTAAACAAAATACAGAAATAATACGAACGTCGAACGTATTAAAATCTTAAAATGCTTTACTTGGTGTGGGTTTATATTTGAGATTAACTTATACTTTGTTCCGCTATAAAAAGATTTTCTGCGCTGGAGAAGAGCTGCCATCGCGGCATGACTTGAGTTGACGGCATGACATGTTCACTCAGTTCCAGTATTAATATTTGTAAAATATATTAAAGTGTTGGTCACTTGCTTTATATCGTTCAAAGTTTTAAATTTTGGTAATTCTTCGACTTTGATAGTTATTAATAGGATTTATTTTGCCAATATTTTCCCGTTGTATGTTAAGGAAACGTTGCTACATACTGGCTCCGTTGCACATATATATAAATATTTATATATTTATATTCTTTCACTTTTGACTTTATACGCTCGCTAATGCAAACGGCATTCCACAAATTTAACAATCAGTAAGGTTGCTTTTTTGCTTTTGTGAGAAAATCTACATAATCCTTACGAATAATCTGCATGTTTGGGCTGCTTAATATTTTTAATATCAATTTTACACAAGGTCTGAAGAGAGCTATTTTGGTAGTATGACAAACCCGGAAGTTTAAAAACGTCACAAATATAAAACCGGTTTTGCAAGTTCTCAAACGGCAACGTCAGCATGGAAGAGAGATTTGTATCGCGTGCCACCAGAGGTTCTCTTCGCCTCGCGTAAAATAAATACGAGCGGGAATAAGGCGAAAGATACAGAACCTCTGGCAACCAGGGTATTTAACTAAACACTTACCATTCAAAGCATCTTGCAGTCGGGCAGAACCCTTTCTTTTTCTCTTGTCTGTCGTTCTCCATCCAGAGACAGAGTATGACCACCGACTGAAATTTGTTAAAACGAACTGTTTTGTATTCACATTTTGTTAAATGCTGTGCGTTGTATTTAAAGATAAAAACAACAACAAAACAAACTATTTACCGGTCAAAACACTTCCTCCATTCGCGCTTCACATTTTCCACAGTCTTCACATTTTCTACAGATTCTTGTTTATATATTTAATGTTTTTATTTTTAACTATACACTTTGAAACTTCCTGAGTCTTTTCCAAGTTTAAAATTTCCCGCTGCAGCGCTATTGTAGTCTTGTACAACTTGAAATTCCCCTCCCCCCGGTTTTCGTTTCGCGGACAAAATTTTAGAATTTCAGCCATCCAATCAGAGAGCTTTATTTTGTGACGTAACGCCGGGAGCCGTCATCCCGCATAGTTTTGACCAAATTTAGTCACGAAATTGATGAATTTTCGCAAAATTAACTCGTTTAAAAGTGATGAGAGAAGAAAAAAACACAATATAGAAGAATTACAGTTATTTGTTACCATAGTGAGTTAGTTTTTTTAATGAATTTCGATGTTTATGTACGAGTTTTTTCGTCATTAAGTTTGTGTATACAGTTTAAATTTGTATTTACTTGCCAACCTTGGGGATATATATTACACGCGTAAAAACGCCCAACTTGTTCACGATTGATAACAGCAACGAACAATGCTGTTGCGAACAGGCTTGAACAGTGTTTTGCTGCCCACACTGAACAACGTTGTTAACAATACTGTTCAGTGCTGTTGGGACAACGCTGTTCAAGACTGACGATTCAACAGGAACGAACAATGTTGTCGCAACAGTGCAAACCAAGCATGATAACAATCATGTTTTATATGGTCAACAACGATGAAGAACGTTGCTTCAACAATGTATAAAAATCATGACAACAAACCTGTTTTTCATTGCTTCGACATGGCTGAACAATCATGTTCTGAAGGGATTTTTCCCCGGGGTTATACGGGGTTCTTGGGGATTTTCTCGTGGAATCCCCGGTGTTCACTATACGTCGTTCCACGTGGAAGAAATCTTCGTGTTCTTTGTCTTCTTCATATCGAGCATTTATTTTAAATAATATCGCCAGTTTCAAGACTTTGAAATACCGGTAATGAAATGGGATATTGTGTACGTAGCGGTGGTACGGTAATCCACGGTAGAATTGAAGGTACGATAATACATTTTGTATTTAGAATTTCAACCTTACTATTTGAACTGTTGGTCATCAACAGTCAACATTCAACACACAGTATACACATAAGTTTAACTGGATATTTAATATTGAAATACGCTTTAAGAATACATAGAGGATATACAATGTTTCGAAAATGTTAACTACAAATTGATAGGAAGTTACAGTAAGCAATCATGACAAGAATAAGTGTCTATGACTATCATGACTTTGCTTAGTTTGCTGTCAGTAAATTTTCACATGCAACATTTAAGGGCCACGTCCATATTCATATTGCCACAAATAACGTAGAACCGACGTTATTTCTTCACCCACCCACCCACTCCAGATAACGTTGATAGATATTCAGCCGTATTTTGACTTTTGTATTTATGATACAAAAGCCATATTTTGACTTTTGTATTTATGATACAAAATCTGTACTGTGATAGTTATACTTTGGACATTAATTGTCAAATTGTCACGAGATAACGTCGATAAGTTCACATAAAAACCCACTCACTCATAATGTCGATTTAATGTTATTTGTGGTAACATAATATGGACGTGGGCCCTCTTATAAATAGGTGGTGTTTACATGAGCCCTACAGAGCTGGCCTGGAAATTGTTACTGAAATGGACTCTTTGCGGCTTTGCGCATGCATAGTTGCCAAATTTCCAGCCCTACGAAAGGCTAGCTCTCACTGTTGCTTATATGGGAAATTTTCAGCCATACTAGACAAGATCTTCAGTAGACAATAGCGAGATCTCACCTAGGAGGGCTGGCCTGATATAAACAAAAACAATTTCTGATAGAGATTTATAATAGCATATAGGATCTCGCATAGGAGGGCCAGCCCTTCATGCAGCTAGGGCTCATATAAACAGGGCCTTAGCCAGTGAGTGTGAGTCACTGAGTGAAATACTGTAGTCTTGAATTTTTCCATGTCAACATTCCCCAGACAGAACTATTTCATGCAATGTTAAAATATTTCATTCAATCACCAAGATAAAACTTATTTAACAAATAATAATTATAGTCTGTGTTGTGAACATACGTGTATCTTTCTCTTGTGATATTTTCCCTTTCAATCCTGATGGTATTCTCTGACTGACCAAAAAAGCAATTTCCATTTAGACAATCGTGGACAAGACAGACTTTATCAACAACGTTTGTCGAAGGAATTATTGCAACTTCATCTGTCTTTTCCACCTTTGGACACTGGAAACTTCCTAGCAATTTTTCCTCATGCTGATCCATGCATAACCTTACTTTCAGGACTTGAACCACCTTACTTTCACCAGAATCACCAACACTCAATCCTTGTTTGAAAATTCCAAGTTGATGCTTAGAGTGAGAAAAAGAATTATTCTGTTAACATTGTTATTGTTAACAGTGTTACTGTAACTTGGCCATTTCAAAATTTAAGTGTTTAAAAAGTTGGAAAAAGGCTACTGGTCTGCAGCTTAAACATCGAACATTAATACCTTGTGTTGAGAATCCAAATATACAATGGATGCTCCAGAATTTACCAGTGTATGGTTCTCACTGATAACTGCTTCATACACAGTGCACATCTTTTCAACTTCATTTTGAAGTCCTGCAGCTTGGATGGTGGCAAGTGGTAAACATTGGGTGAGTGGTAGCTTTTTGAGTTTTCCTCTCACATACATTCCCTAGTGGGTAAAATATAACAATTTAACATACGGTATGCTATCTGAACAGTACTGTAAAATTAAAATATTTCACTCATTTGAAAAGTTGCGTATACCCTGAAGGTGGCTCAACAACATTATGCAATAAATTTCACTTACTTTCCTTAAGCATCCAGGCTGATATATAGGTTTGTTCTCAAGACTTTCCTTTATTGGGATGTTGTTTAGAAAATGCTGGATCTTTGGTTCAGCTGCAAGTTCAATAATATTTTTTGGTGCCTGCAAGCTGAAAATAGACAAAGATTTTACAGTTACAGTATGTTGTGATTTACATATATGTAAAATAGGAATGTAAGTACACAACAGAACTGATTACTATCAACTAATGGACAACTTGCATGTTAGACTAAATTTCAATACAGTGCCTTTTTTAACTATATATCTGGGGGGGTTGCCCCGCAGGGAAAGAATTTGCCCCCCCTCCCCAGTAAAGTCATTTCTGCCCCTAAAGTGTGAAGCAGAATTGCTCATGATTGCTGTCAGAATTGCAGTTGATTTACTTGATAATGAGATTATGCCCTTCCATAGCCTCCTCCACAGCCATCTTGTGTGTAATTCATGTTGTTCTTCACCGAGTATTTCATAATAGCGATAGATTTCATGCAAACAATCCGATAAAATGCTAGCCTTTCCAAGGCTTGCGACTATTTCCTAGCACTCTCCTCCGCAGAGGCGTTGTGTTTTGTTTGGGAGGTTTTATTGCAATTTTTTTTTTCTTAAAAATATCAAGTTATATTAAGAGCCCCCCCCCCAGATATGGTTCCAAGAAGAATAGATTTAGTTTAGATTTTTAACTGTTAAATACATATATTTATCATCATAGCATGAATATTTCTTCTCAGACTTATTCTGTGTCGTATGAAAAAGCAACGCAATTTTGAGAATGCGGAAATGGCGTCTCATAGAACCTAAAATGATTTAAATGCAACATTTCTAATCAAAATCACATTGATGTACTTTATAATCTTTGGAATTCTGCTAGATTTCACCCCCAAAATGCAGTGTGAAGTCCCCCCCCCCACCGCAAAATGAACGTTTGGCTACGCCACTGGTTATAGCTGTACGATTATAGCTACAAAGAGTTGAAGTTATTGTTTAAAGCTAGTAAAATATCGCTGAAATTAATAAATTAAAGTTTTACAAAATCTCTCTCCAGACTCGCACGTTCACCAAACCTCGACGGCTCATATTTTTCGTTCTGCCTTTTTTTCCTGTTTTCCCCCCCCCCCCCCCCCAGTGAAAATTCCTTAAAAAAGGCACTGTTTCAATAAGTAAAGAGAAGGGAATCAAACATCACAGCCAAACAGAACATAATTAAATTAGTAAAATTGCAAACATTTGGTTGCAAAATGATATAAAGCTTGGAAAATATAGGCTATATATAGCCTTGCAAAGTTTGCAAATTTTGTATCAGTTTGTATTATGTGCAGATATTGTTACCATTTTCAGCTCAAAAATGTTAACAATTCCCATACGTAATAACGGTAATACAAACATATATAAAATATGCAAACTTTGCAAAGCTATATTTTCCGTATTTTACAACATTTTGTAACAAAATTTTGCAATTTTTCTAATTTTAAGTTCTTTATGGGAATTTACTTTTTTTGCCTAAATCAAAAATTAGTCTAACATGCAAGTTGTCTATTTGACTTGACTTGAATTAATTTTGCATCAGTGTAAAACAAGTTCATTCAAATACCTGTGATCTTTGCCCCACTTTCCACCACTCAAAATGAAACGGAGTTTTTCCATTTTGGCAAACTTTGTGCAGATATCCAAGCTTGAGGCATGCCTGTTGCTGTTAACATTAAGGCCTCTTATCACTGAGTTGAATGCCTCAAACCTGACAATGCCATAAAAGAAAAATATTAAATGTAAGTTTATTATTGCTTACACCCACAGTACTAGGTTTACAGGTAATTATTATGCATTTCTCTTGCCTGAATTAGCTTCATTAAATTAAATACTAGTTTACCTTTCTGTGCAGAATCCATTGGCTGGTCCAAGATTTATTATGTCATCAACCAGATGCAACAGTAAATGGATCTTGGGCTTCCTCGCAAATTCAGGGAAAGATCTTCCAATTGCATTGACAAAGGCAGTGACCAACTGTTTTGCAGGCTGTTCATTTCTTTGGTCAAATGTAGATCCATACCCAAGACAGAATATCTAATAAAGTTGAAGGTTATAAATTGTCTTTAATGGATTGGTATCACTGGATTGAAGACTTGCAATCTGATAATGAACTTTTTATCATGGTGAGATTTTAAATGTTTGTTAAAAAATATGCATATTAGATTATTGCATGGCATGGTATAATACAGTATGGTACCTCACTAAGCAACTCCCAGACAAGAAGAATTTCCTCGGACACAATGCCCTGAAGTATAAAAACTACTAGCTGTGTCCACAGTTTGAAATCTCTGCCAATATATGAGCCATAGTTTCTGGTAATATTTCCTCGAATATTTGCTGGGAATGCACTCATATCAGTTGATAAGATCTTTGCATGTAGCTGATCCTTCTTTTGTTGTGACAGGGACTGTATTGTTGCAGACAACAAGTATTTGACAGGTCCAAGAAGTATGGTATGTAGGATTTCAATGGGTGTTTTACTGTATAATATAAAAAATAGCAAAATTAGAGATTATTTCTCTCAAACTTTATGGTATTGATTCCCCTTGATATATTGAATAACTGTAATTTGATACTAACTGTTGTCCACGGAAACATGTCAGGGCATCAAATGCACCACCTTTCTCTGTCACACCATATTCTCTTCGCAGTTGTTTCTTTTGGTTTTCAGTACTGTTGTAATATATTCAAAGATTTTGGGTTGTTTAATTAACTATGCAATTCAGACTTTATTATAAGAAGTGATCTGCTACTGTAATTCACTTGATCCATGTCTTCGAAAGACTTGATGTTTATCATTTATAGATGTGGAGTGAGGAGGATTCGATGAAATATTACCCAAAGTGACGATATTTCATCACTGAGGAATAGGATAGTATTTTGACAAATTCCCCGAGTGGAGGGTCTATAAATGATATATAATTTACTGAATATTATTCCATAAAAGTTTTACATACTTGCATTCTTCAATCTTGCGAATCGTTTCCTGGACAAACTCATCTGTTCGTATTGTTCCAATTTCAGTTCCACTGTCACTTGTTGCCTGTGTGAAAAATGCTGTGCTGTACTTTATTTAACCCATTAAGTGCCAGCGCTCTCCCCTTGACAAGTAAAATCGTCTGGCGTTAGACAGAGTAAAATATGAAAGTAGGGTGCATCAGGGTGCAATGCGACTCAATGGGTTAAATATTAAAAATCTAATTTATGAAAATAATGTTTTATACTGTACACATCCACTCACATTACATTTTCGGCAAAATTTTTTTGCACAGCTACCCAAGTGATGCTCGAATTCTGAAGCTCGTGGATTGTCTGCCAAGACACTCAAGACAGGGCACCTCACAAGAACATTCTTATCAATGCTGGCATCGTACATTATCTTGCCAGTTTCAATTTCTGAAAGGTAGTAATTTATAATTCAATAATTCATGAGGTAATGTTACTGCAGTATTTTATGAATTGATAACACACAATCCCCTTTAATTCTCTGATCAAGCACATACTATAATTCCTATGAATATTGTATGTACTTTTATCACATGAAATAGAGGATTTAATTTTTTGGCTCTGTATTACTAAAAAATTACACTGCTCTTAGCCAATCAGAATAGACCTTTTTAATTAAAAGTCAGCCTTGTGACATAGTTTGCAGATAATGGAAACCCCGCACAGCCATTTGGCTTGCCTGATTGGCCAAATGATCGTATTTATCCGCGAACTACGTCATAAGGCAGACTTTTTAAAAAGGTCTATTGAGAAATTTCTTCGTGTGTATTATTAGGTCTGAAATCACAAGTTTTCAGACTAAAATCGCACTCCACTCAATTCAATTTACTCTTTATTACATTCATATTAATTTCGTAAACACATTTTTGAAAGCTGGAAACACTATATTTCAAATAATGCCAATAAGGTCCCCATGAGTCTAGAAGAAAGTTAGAATATATTGAAATGTGTAAAGTCAACTGGACATGAATAGTGCAATTCTATAAGGCTACTGCATTATGTACCTTGTAGGTCACTGGCGATAGATTTTCCAAGTGGAACAGATGGGACAACATTTGATGTGGACAGAAAATGGATGTTCTCTATTTTCCTGATTTCTCTTCGTGGAAGGCCTGCAAAGCTCATGGAAAAGTTTTCCAGACAATTCCATTTTTTGTTGTATTTCCACTAGTTTCATCAATGAACACAAGTAAAGGCACTGTAATGCTTGGTTTACCTTCACCTATTGTCTTCATCTCATGAGGCTTCAAAAATTCACTGGTTTCCTATGAATGAAAGTCACATGTATCAAAATGAAATAACTGTATAAGCTTAGTTTACACATATTATGATTAATCGGACCAATTTCAAGTTTTGACGAATGTTAATAACGAATGTTGTCAGTTGACAATGTCAGATGACGCTGACAGTATATTTTTCTAATCGTTGTGTGTAAACATACCATCCTTAACTCTTAAGCCAATTCACATAAAATCAAACCTGCTCAGAGACTTCAAAAACTTGTCCATTTTCATATTTGTGTTGTATCTGATGTGGAGTGATGTTGATCTTATCTATTATTTGTGACACTGACACAGCAATTGTCTCTGTTGGGCAAATACAATAATGGTCGTTTCCTTTATCATATAGGTATTGGATCTTTGCCATAAGTTCTTCTGTTTGGTCTTGACGAACCTACAAAAAGTGAGAGAAATAGAGTATCATGTCAGTATTGTATTGTTTCTTTAATCCAATGAGTTGCAGCAATCTCCCCCTGACGAATAAAATCGTCTGGCGTTAGACATCTAGTAAAGTAATATAAATAATGTAGGGTGCATCGGGGGGCATTGCCACTTAAAGGGTTAATGCTAGAGTATTAATTGGTCTTTTACCTTAACATAAAATTTGGAAAGTTTTCCTGAATATACATGTCCATTCGAAGAGAAATTAACAATTTCATTTAAATGATATGTTGTTTCTTCCTTGCAAACAGATGGACTTTTGAATTGATCATTTTCTAACCACTTTTTCCCCTGTTTCGAAAACATTTGAAAATATTATGTTAACTCATATATAAAATATGACGTAATTCTGGTTAATTCCAGTTAATTTTACTGCAGTTACCCCTTGCTGGAGTCAGTTAATTTGTTTCATACTGTACAGTTATATCATAACCTGGTACATCTCACTGATACTTGAGTCAGTCTCCTCTGGATATCTCATCAGTGCTCTTGCTTTGATGGGTGTTGCCAGCTGAAGCCTGACAATATCAGATGGTCGCAGCCAGTAGTATGGATTACCTTCGAAATAGTCCTAAAGCAGCAATGAATTCCATCATAAAACTTCATATGTATAACTTTTTATGAGAATTGTAGCTACATTTCCCTTTTATTGACTTGTTTGAGAATAATACCTTTTGAGGTTGTAGCATCTCTTCAACTTCATTTATTTTAAAATTCAAAATTGAGTGCAGTGAAGGTACATCTACTCTGAGTTTGTGAAAAATCAGCAAGAGAAAATCCAAATCTACACGGGACTAAAAAATCTGCATCTTAGGCCATATAAAATAAATTCCTTGATTCTCATCACCGCCCGACGATATTTTGGTTTCCGCGTTGATATATTTTTGTATTTTGTTATAAAATATAAATTTACCGCCCGACCGAGCATCTTCAGAGATTTAGTTATTTTTATATTTTATATTGGAATTTTTGCGATATAAAATTGTTTTGTTGTTAATATTGCAACATGTTAAGGGATGTTCGGAATACTGAAGGAAAAAATGGGCTTATAGCCTTATTACAACGATTTGTGTGGACCCTTATGCATGTTCATTAGCGCATGTGCAATTATCCACTTATATAGCGTTCTTCTATAATATATTTAAGGGCAAATATAAAAAGACCTCCCTCTCCAATTTTTTAAATTTTAAACTTTTGTTTTATATTTTGACATAAAATATAAAATATAAACCTGCCGCCTCCTGGGAGTTTTTAAAATTTAGCGATGAGAATCAAGGAATTTATTTTATATGGCCTTAGGGACTGGTCATTATTTATGGAGGTGGTAGGGGAATTTTTTCTTTCTAAATTTTTAAAATTGACCCCCCCTGGAAGAACAGAAATTTAATGATGCCCCCCCTGTATACTAGAATATTTTTCTTTGACCCTCCCCCCCCCCATTTTTTCTTTTACTTGTCAAATAGAGATATCTGCTATCAGTATTTATCTCTGTAATTGGTGAAGACTGATTTGCATATACAGCACACAAAAGACAAGATAAATCTGGACTATTTCACATCAGTGACCATGATCTCGATCACAACATTTACAACCAAATGGATACCAGGCTTATTTAATTGCAAGCCCCCTCATTTTTTGCAAAAATTTAAATAGCCCCCCCCTCATCTTCTAGTAATTTATTTATACATATGCCCCCCCCCCTTTTTTTTGCCCTCTCCCACCTTCCATAAAAAATGACTGGTCGCTTCAATAGTCTAGCAAATACAAATTTATAATTTGTATAATACAAAGTAAGTACTATTTAATAATTAAAAAAAAATTTCACTTGTCTACATATTTATAACTGTATGATTCACTGATAAGGGTAAATTATATATTAAATTTTGGGCATCTTACTTCATATTACACAAATTGTACAGGGTTTTATGGATGGAAATTTCTTTCTGTTGATGGAAATGCAAATAATTTCATTACAAATTTTCTGTCGAAATTCCATCGACAAAACCCTGGACATGTGTGTTCGTTGACATATGGGGAAAACCCGCATCATTTACCATTCATGAAATTGCGACTTTTCTGGGGGAAAATGTATAAAATTAAAGCCCGTTCAAATGAAATTTTGCTACATTTTTAGGTGTAAACAATTTTTTTGGATAGAATCACAGGATTTATCCAATAATTACGCAACAATGAGCAAGCTCGCATGATTATGAATTTGCATCCACACTTGGCGTCCAAATAGCACACTTTTGAACAATGTTTTGCATTTCAATGGCACATTTAGTGTATTGCGAATGTGACAACAAAATTTGTTCAAGTCTAAAAAGTACAGATATTGCAATTTGCATAATTTGTTAAATGTTCTTTAACATGTTATGGGATTGTAAAGATTTATACTTGGGCGCACACATGCACCGAAATTCTTTCTCATATGACATCTGCTGTATTCTATATATACCAGTATTGATATTTTTCTTTGAATTATTATTATAATATGAAAAAGAATTCGGTGCATGTATGCGCCCAAGTAATCTTTTTAGACGTGAACAAATTTTAACGTGAGCTATTTGCACAAGAATGGACATTTGAGCATTGATAAAGAACAACCTGATCTCGATTGTTAACAGCATTGAACAATACTGTTCGCAACAGCATTGAACAATGTTGTTCGCTCAAATTTTGAAAAAATGAACATTTTAGACTTAAGAAAATCTATGTTACCTTCGGTCTTGAAATATTATGCGCGTAACTGTAAAGCAGGAAAAAGATCTCGGATGGGAATGGAAAATGACTGGAATTGTCGCCGGAGGTCTCACGCAAATGTTCACTTATGTTGTCAATGTCCGACAGGTCTTCGTCGTCCGAATCTATACCCGTATATTCCATGTCTATGCCCGTATATTCCCAGTCTTGTTGCAGCTCGGTAGCAGAGGTTTTTTCCAGTCTAAATACTTCCTCGTCATCATCCAAGACCAGGTCACCCAGAACTTGTTCATCGGGCACAAGCTGAATATTTGACGGCATGGCCGCGGAGGGCAGCTCTTTGACGAGATGTCCTGTCGACGAAACATGAACGGAATATCTTTCCCACGTCTCAAAACTAACATTGCACAAATTACAGTGATGACGATATGCCCTTTTCTTCATTTTTTTTAATCCCTTTTGATATTTATCTGCTTTTTTGAATGAAAAACATCCCTCTTTGAAATCACACTCTCGACAGATTATGATGGTTTTCCCTTTAGGGGATTTTGATTGGTTATCAAAGGACAATGTTTACAAATGCTTTGCTCTCATTGGTTAATACGGTTTCCCGCCTCACTTTGTTTTCAATGTTTTGGGCATTTAATCTGAAAACTTTTAAAGGTGAAAATTTTTTTATCGAAATGTCTGGACCTGTTGGAAGAGCATTTGGGATGCCAAACATGTAAAGTACTCTTTATTTTTTTAAAAAGTGTTACCATGTTTTTTATATTCTTTGTATTCGATAAGGAATTAATTTTTTAAATAGAAATACGGAGTTTATTAACGACGTCTTTTTCGGCGAGACACAATAATAGGCCCGGCCGCCGAAGACAGGATTTCCCTCAAAACCCTTTTGAAGTTAAAGTGTTTTTTAACATATAATTCTAATAAATAATTATAAAACTCCGTCTGCAAGCAAAATGAGCTTCCAAGACTCGGTAGTTTTGACTTTTAAAACACAAATTTGCGTACGGCCGGGAATGTTTATATAATGATATAAATATAAATATAAATAAAACAATAAAAAAAAAGGCATAATATTCTAATAACATTCAGAATTTATACAAATAAAATAAATACAAATGGGTATAATGTTCTAATAACACTCAGAATTTATATGAAAACGAATTAAACTTATATTTTCAGACGAACCAGAGGCGGAGCCATCTGAGGAAAATGCAGTGCTTCAAGAACTTAGAGAGCTGAAAGACCTCATGAAGTCTATAAAAGCGAAACAGAGTGAGATGGAAAAGACTTTGGTTAGAATAACCAAACAGCTCGACACGAAAGACTTTGAATTGGCAAAGTCTTCCCATGCTGTTAGTTCATTGTCAATAGTACATTACTGCAATGGATTATCATTGAATAGATAAATATGTAGATTTTTAAACTCTGTCTTTTATTTCAGGCAAATGTGACCAAAATATGTGCTAAAGCATATATACAACTTGGACGGTTCCAAAAGCCAAATGAAAGCAAAACTGTTAGTGTCATATAAAGCATTCATTAAATTAATATAATTAAATTTTATATTCTAACATATCAGCATTTGCTATCAATTTCTGCTTGGGTTACTTATATTTAGGAACAACTCCGTCAAGAATTTGCCAATTCCCCATATGGTCTCACAGTTCAAGAACTCCTTCTTCATGCCGAGCGTTTTGAGAAGGCGAAGTTCACCTACTGGAGAGCAGAGGAAAGAAGAAGGGTAAAGCATGCTATCAAATGTTTTAATTTAGCTTATCGTAAGTAAAATCATTGTTAATATAAAATTCTACTGTTCATTTAATGTAAACCTTGTTTCTGGTGACATCTTTTAGATTCTGGCAGTAGGAACTTGGTCTTCTTTAAGACAAGCGTCCACAAGAGAACTGGCAGCCAAGATCTGTGGCCTCCTCGGGGTCAAATTTAATGTGGTACTGGAAACCACTGTTCGACGAAACATTGCTCTTGTGGTAAGGACCTGACAATTGACAGACATTGATACTGATACTTTCGAATGATTACCCAATAAACATATAGTTACCAAAAGGTTTAAAATCTATTGTGATAAAGAAGAAAAATTAGTTTGACCTTCAATACTTAATATTTTTTCATTATCCACTTTCCGGAAAACATATGTTACAGCTGTTGGCATACACCACTGCGAGAAAGACGAGAAGTTTTGGCTCTCGTTTTACAAATGGTCCGAGGACAAATATGGAGCCAGAGGACCCACTCAGATAGACTGGGACATCATCCTCGCGGAAGAGGAATAAACAGTTTTTTAAAGTCCTTTGTAAATGTTTTTATTTTATGATGGTCTCTTTGGCAAATTCTGTTTCAATATCCACATGCACCTTTTTAGAGATGCCTAAGTTACATATATATATTGGCCTTCAAAAAAACAAATTTATCACTTAAACTATGAAAATTTCATATTTTGTCGAAATGTATATATTTGTGAGGGAAGAACTTCATCTGATAAATAGGCCACTATTTGTTGCATATGAGTTAATCATCCCTAACCCACATAGCTTTCTAGACAGTCACATCGATGGTTATTATGACCATTATAATACAAAACAAATTTATTTGCAAAATACCACATCTTTCCTATATTAGATGCTTTTTAGTTTATCGCAACACATTTAATACACATTGCTTTGTACGAACATGCATGAAAAACAAAACACCATGAAGGAATAATGGTTTATGACTACTTGCCTGCATAAACTTTTGGGGACAGTCCTGGATGAGAAACAATTATGCAACACTGTATGACCTTAGTTACTTAATAAGGAGTTTGGACCATCCAAACTGGCCCATACTGAGTGTGAAATTCAAAGACATAACTTTAAGTGAGAGGGGTCGACTGTTTATTAACTATAAGATCAATCGCAAAAGGTTGGGCAAAAATTCTCTGCTCTACAAAATGGTGGAATTTGAATGGAATGTACCTTTGTTAGTACCTTTGTTTACTTTTTAAAGATATACTTTATATTCTCATTAATAATGTTAAATAATATTGAAAATAGTGTTAAATAATATTGAAAATATTATCCATCTATCATTAGTTTTACTGTAAATTTTGAAGATAAAATGAAAATATTAAAATGGTACCTTTTATAACACTTTATACGTGGTAATCTAGCTAGAGCACCTTGAACAGCTTGCACATGAAGTATTAAAACCAGCAGTCTGATCAAGTATATTTAATAGTCTGATCAACATTACCTGTAAATACAACATTTTTGCGGTTATATCCCATTTCGTTTCATTGATCATTTGTTATCAGCTTCAGAAACAACATTAGTTCCAAGTAGGGAATGCATCTGTGAATATCAGTTGTTAAAAATAGTCAGTTTTCTTGAAACAAAGTTCACTGAACGTTCGAAAAACGCGAAGGCAAACGGTTGAAACATGTGGTATGGTTGAAACTGAATGTAATTTAATTTATCCTCATAACGCCTAAGGTATCCTTATTTATCCTTTAAAAAACCTTAGGGCTATACACGTGACAAACATGTGACGTGTGCAAAGTTCAACAACATTGTTCATACTTGTTCAAACAACGCAAAACAATCTGTTGGCCCATCAGCATTGTTCATGGTTGACAGAACAATAATGCTCTAGCCTTTTCAATAAACAATGCTGAACAATAATGTTCAAACAGCAATTAACAAGGTTGTTCCATCATTCCAATTTTTACCTGTTGAAACAACTTTGAACAACTATTGTTGGTTTGTCAATACTGAACAGCGTTGTTGAAACAACAATGAACAGTACTGCTGATTCAGCAATGTTGTTCAACCATGATAACCGCATTGTTGCAATAATGTTCAGCCATCAATACTGCAACAACCTGATGTGTTTTTGGCTGTGTACACCAACACAGAAAAAATATATGTATTCGGTTAATTAATTAAAGAGAATATTTGATTTAATCAAGATAATATCCTATTATGATTAATAAAGGTGTTATTATTATTGAATGTTTCACAAACGTTTAAAGGTGTTCTTATTTTTATTATTAAATTTGTCACAAATGTTTACACTGCCACCGATATACATAACATGTTACAAGACAACGGGTTAGGGTTAAACACGGATGGACGGACAGCAGGCGGACAGATGAGAGGGTAAAGTGCGGAAGAACGAATGAAAGGGTGAAATGCAGACGGATGGGAGGGTAAAATGCGGCCGGACGAGTGTATAAAATCAACCTCGTACCCAGGGTCTTTCCTATTGGGGATAAAAGACTCTGGTAGACGCTGGTCACGTGATCTGCTAAAATCTAACACATTTCTAATTAACCATCTTGGATTCCTTTACGACAATCACACAATTAAATTAAAATGCAAATTATTAATTAAACTACAAAAATCATCAAAATATCAAACATTTATTTACCTCATTTTGGATTGCTAATTAAAAATCTAGTAGATTTTAGCAGATCACGTTTACCAGGGTCTTTTCTCCCCTCGCCAAGAGGAAATACCCTGGGTACAAGGTTGGTGTAAAATGCAGTGATAAAAAGAATAAAAAAGGTCATCAAGTTTAGATTAGCACGAGATGAAGATTAGATTAGGGTTAGATTCAGATTATGTTAGGGCTCAACATGTGTCGCGAATTTATCGTATTGATAATATCGGACGTGTTTAATATTTTAGTAAATTCAAAGGTGGAGCTCTTGTAGGCTTGGTTCAAGTCCTTCTCAGGGGGAAAATAGGGAGAGACGGACTTGGGACATTTGCAGCATTAATTTCGAATTTTACTTGAAAAAATTGGCGCGGAAAATTGTTGTTGTTCTCAACTCGCAAGCCACGCCTCCGTAGGAAAATTTGACGGAAAAATTTGGTGCGCTTGTAGGGTATCCAAGTCCGTCTCTTCCTACTTTTCTCTCAATACATATTTTCACGTCTGTTTTGACCGCTCCTTCATCGCTATTTTCAACCCCTTGAGAGACGGACTTGAACCAAGTCTAGAGCTCATGCCGCAAAATGTGGACGGACGGATGGGATGATAGAATGCAAACGGACAGAAGAGTGGGTAAAATATGAATGTAAAAGGTATATAAATAAACATCTTTGTAGGCGTTTGCCTGTCAGGAGAAGATACAAGTCTTTCTAATATATCCTCGCAGTTTGCCATCCTTACAACTGCTGTTAAACGTTTTGGTCCAAACTGCTAGTAACTTGTTGAAATGATATATGAAAGAATGTTCGTCAGATTTATTAAGTGGTATTTGTATTTTTCGTGCAGAATTCATGGCTTAATTCCTTCTAGAATGGCTATAGAAAGGACACAGATAATGTCAGTACATATGCTTCTCTGAGTTTACTGGCCTATTCTTGTCGTTTTTTTGTAAAGAAAATTGCCGAGATTCACTTTTGGGTAATTTGTCTACGTTTCAGTCTATT